GGACGGCGCGCGTAGTGCAGCACGTCACAAGGCAAGGCAAGGCAGGCAGATACGTGGGGTAGCGCGGTAACCGCAGCGGTAGGTGGGCCCGAAAGAAAAAACGGTCCTACGGACCTTAGTGCTCTGAAACCATGTTAGAATCTAGCAGCAGAGTGATGAACGAGCAGCATGCAGGAGTACAAGTAGTAAACCCTAATTGGGTTGTACCCCATATGGGCTACCCCACTACAGCCTAGATACTATGCAGCATATATGTTTGACATTATTGAGGCACAAATTACGAATATGCATCCTCGTTTAGTCTCGAACAGAAGCTTTGACCAAGGAAAGTGGAGCTGCCAACAGATTAGAAAGAAATCTTGTACCGTATTCTCCCGGATATAAGACCCTAGGGTCTTATGAAAAATTCAAGAAAAAAATGGGGGGGGTCTTGTCAAAGGCAACTAATGATATAGTACCCGGGTCTTATCATATGGACATATTTTTAAGAATGGTGTTCAAATGCTTCTCAGATGGGGATGCTCGCGATTTTTTTTCCATCCTCAGTAGGTCCGCAAATGTGAGCACTCGAAAATAAGGTACATCACACTGGAAACTGGCTGTAGCCTTCTCATTCAAATCTAGCTATGGTCATAACATTGAAATCTGGCTATTGTTTTTCCCCACGTTTGCTACTTATTTTCATAAACAGTTAACCTTGTGTGGGTTTAATGGGCCTAAATCTATTTCCACATTCTTACTATGATAGAAAAACATATGAAAATTCATCAAATTCCAGAAAAAACAGTAGTATACACGTTTGGGGGAGGGTCTTATAATGTTTACCCCTCTAGAGGGGGGTATAGTGGAAACCTGCCAAAATAAAAGACCCACCCTCGTATTACAAACCCGGGGGTCCTGTATTCCGGGGGGTCTTATATCCAGGAGAATACGGTATACGGTAACTGCCTCAGCTGTGTTTTGTGCATTCAGGCTAAATCAGCAGCTTGTTATGTAAATAACATATGTTGCTGCAGCGTTCTTAACTGGAAAACCACCACCGACCCCTACCAATTACAACGCAGCTTCTGCAAGTGCCAGGTCAGCAAGGATTCCGTCTCTAACGTCAGCAGGGAGCTTCGCGTTGACTCCACTGCGCATATAGAAGCGGGAGAGCGTTCTGAGCACAGAGTCGAGAGAGGAGGTGATGATCTGTTTGGGGGGGGGGGGGAAGGAGAAGAGGGATGAAGGGGTGTTGTCGGGAAAGGCAGGGAGGGAATGTGAAAATGGAAAAAGAGGCAGCTTGGTGTTTGATTCTCTGCACTGCGCATGTGGAAACGGGAGAACGTTCTGAGCAGAGTCGAGTGAGGAGTTGATGGTCTGATTGCGAGAGCGAGGAGTGAAGGAGGGAAGGAGAGGAGTGGAGGCGGGGGAACGAGGAGGAGGGGGAAACGGCAGCAGAGGGAAAGGGGGTGAGGGGGAAAGGGGACGAGGGGGACGAGCAGAGGAGGTTAGGGAGTGAATGTGAAATAGATGGAGGCTTGCCATTGATTCCCCTGCACCAGGCACGTATAAGCGGGAGAGTATCGTGAGAGCAGAGTCAATATTTGTGGCGCCTAAAAAAAAAAGGGAGGTTTGCCAGTGATTCTTCTGCAATGAGGTTCAGACGATTGGGATAGAGTGAGACGAGACGACCACGCTAGGAATTAGGTGAAATAAGCCTTCCTTTCAACCTCTCAACCTAAGATGGGTCCGTACGTCCCTGGACCTACGTAAACGTAATGTTACGCGTAACATTACGTTTACGTTTACGTACGCGTAAATACGCGTAACTTAGGTCCGGGCAGGAAAAAAAATCTAGCAGGAAAAAAAAAAACGTTCTGTAAATTGGCCCTGGAGAAGAGAGCATCATTGCGGCACAACCGCTCAGGGCAGCACATACAGCTGCGTACGAAATGCTATATTCGGGATTGACGGTTCTTTCATAACCGTTATGCTATATTTAGTGACTATCTACCTCGCTATTTACATTCGCAGCACCATCGTTTAGATCTTTAGTTAGGTCGTACTTAGGAACTCTAGGATCTAGGTTAGAGGATCTAGAACGGAGATCTACGTAGAAGATGTGAGAGGATTAGGTCGTGGATCTAGCTCTAGCATCGATCGTAACCTTCAGAGACCCGCGTAAGTCATGGGGCTGAAACATAAGGACAGGTGGGGAGGTCGAAGTGATGACACTGAGGGGGGGGGGGGGGGACACGTTGACTCGCGATTTTGAAATTGGAGGGAAAGCCCGAAGTGATTTTGTGCACCAAGCAAAAGTAACGCGTCACAAAGTGACGCGCTGATACAAACAATGGTTGCGACAAAATTTCTGGTTGGAGATTGCAATTTCGTAGCTAGAACCATAACATTATCCTAGATAATGTTAATGCCAACTTTAAATCCCAGGGAAAATTTTATGATCCGGGCAGCTGAAAAAAAACTAATCTGTCCGGAAACGTAAACTCATTCTGGAACCTTGTACGTAACGTAAAACGTACGTAAACGTAAACGTAAAACGTACGTAAACGTAAACGTAAAACGTACGTAAACGTAAGCGTAATATCCAACTTAGCTCTCAACATCCCCACCCCCATGCATTTTCCCCATCCCCACATTCCCCACCCCCTGCTCTGACCTCCATACAATCTGCTGCCCAGTGACCTTCCCCCGCCACTCCCCATTAAGTGCGTGAATAAGAGTTCGGCCATCCCACCTGTCAGTCAACCCCTCCCCTTGTTCCACCCTCCCCTTGTTCCACCCTCCCCTCGTTCCAACCTCCCCTCGTTCCACCCTCCCCTCGTTCCACCCTCCCTTCGTTCCACCCTCCCCTCGTTCCAACCTCCCCTCGTTCCACCCTCCCCTCGTTCCACCCTCCCTTCGTTCCACCCTCCCCTCGTTCCACCCTTCCTTCCGGTCCCCTGCACTCACCTCCCCTGCGCTTGGCATTGAATGAACTGCAACTTGTAACACTTCCGGCGTTCAGTCCAGTCCTTCTTCCCCCATGCATCCTCCACTGTCTCTCCTTCGCTCACCTCCATATAATCTGCTCACGAGTGACATTCCTCAAACACTCCCCTTAAATACCCACAAGCAGTTCAAAACTCCCCTAGTTTATAACTCAGCTCGTTCAGCCCTCCCCACGTTCAGCCCTCCCCACGTTCAGCCCTCCCCACGTTCAGCCCTCCCCACGTTCAGTTCTCCCCCTCAACTCTCCCCCTGTTCAACCCTCCTCTCAGCGCATACTCCCCCCTTCCCCTGCGCTCACCTCAGTGTTCTCCGGTGCTTTCCCCCGCCACTCCCCCAGGTACGCGCGGATTGCGCCCTTAGCCACCTCCGCCTTGCGCCGGAACTCCCCCCGCTCGCCCTCCTCCGCGCCCAGCGCGTCGCGCAGGCTGCTGATCAGCGCCGTCACGCTCCGCACGTACGCCTTCGGACGCCGCCGCCCGCTCGCCGTGACCTCCTCCGAATCGAACGCGGATCGGAGCCCTCTCAGCAGGTCGCTTCCGCCCGCGGCTTCCGCCGTTGCGGCGGCGTCCGCGGCGGCGTGCGCGGCGGGGGGGAGGGCGGATAGCGGGAGGTACGGGGAGAGGGTGGCGGAAGCCAAGGCGAGGAGTCCGCCCACGAGCGCGGAACGTCTGGGGAGGGCTTCGGGGGAAGCGGCGGAAGGGGAAGTGGCGGAAGGGGAAGTGGCGGAAGTGGAGGGGTGGGCGGAAGGTCGGTTTTCCGCCTGCGCTGACGCGCGGATAGGGGCAACGGCGGAAGTGCGGCTGCGTCTGGCCCCATTGGCGGGAGAGACGCGCGCAGCGCAGGCGGAAGAGAGGACTGGCGCGGGGAAAAGGGCGGAGGGTGCTAGTGCAAGCGCGCGAGAGTCCATTTTAGAGTGCTTTGAAAATAAGGATGTTCCGCGGCGAGTATCAGGGTGAGAAATTCTGCTGCAACGGGAAAAGCGCCGAGTGGTGTTCCGAAAGGGGGGCAACGCGGGGAGCCGGTGCGGCGGCGTCCGCAAGCCGCAATGGTTCGAAAGGAGGGCGCAATGCGGGGAGTGCCGGTCCGATGTCTGGTGGCACAAAACAATGGCTTTCCCGCACGACGACGGCTAGCAGCTCTGGCGGGAAAAGGCGTTGTCGCGACGCGAGCGAGCTCGATACGAGCTGCGAATCGCGACGAAGGAACGACCAGGTGTGGCGATGAAACGAGTGGCCCGCTCGGACAGAAGCCGTCGCGACGCAAAATTTGAACGTATTTTGATTCAGAATGAAACGCCTGAATGGATAAGAAGCGACTATTGCTGACTGTGCTCGAGATTTCTATGACATGGATTTGTGCGGGGGAGCAGGGGCGTGTCCATTTACAGACGTTTCGAGGTTTGATTTTTCCGGGACGGATGGTTCGGTTTCCGCGACAAAGATGGTAACTCTAAAGGGAGTGCGAACCTCGTCAGGTCATGCAAACTAAAAAGCAATTCGCGTATAGCGGTAACATGTTCGTATCGCACTCATTTACGAAACCCGATATAAGGCGAATTGGTTGGGATTCATGTTTTTTCGCGAGGACGTTTCGTGAATCGACACAATTGTCGCTCTGCAATAGCCCCATCCTACAAACGTACTGCGTATGCGTTCCGTAAAAAACTGCATCACAAGCACCACAGTTGAAGCATCGACTTTTCACATATCGAGTACATCCATCCAGCGGCAAGCAGCAGCAGCGGCGCGTTGATCGTGGCATGATCTTCGAGGCAGCTTCCCTCGAAGCAGCAGCAGGCAATTCGCCAATTCGCCGATTCTCACTTCGTAGCGGCGTTTCCGCGAATCAAGAACCGTTTCACCACGATTCCTAAACCAGGCCTCCTCATTCGCCGCGTCGCTCGCTCACCTGTTTCTCGCATTCTCCGTGAATTTCTCGTAGTTCTCAATTTCGAAGGCTCTGAAAACCCTTGTTCCCTCGTCACTATACGACTCTCCAAAAGCGACGCCATGTGCGGCATCGCGCTTGTCGCCCAGCGACTGCGAGCGATCAGCTGTCGCACGGCAGGGCGTCGCACGGAGAGCGGCTGCGACGTGCCGTGCGACAGCGAGCGATCCAGAGTAAGGGGATGGATTGGAGGGAGTTGGAATGTGCGGCTGGGAAGTTCGGTGGGGTGGAAACGGCGACGGTGGTGAAATGTTGGGGGTGGCGGAACGTGGGAGGAAAGGGGGATTTGGGGGGCGAGAGCTAAGCATTCAAGGGTTGGGGTGGGATTGAGGGTTCAAGGTTGAGGGTTTAGGGAGGGAGGGGCGGGGGCGAGAGGGTGCGCGGGGGAAGGGTTTGGATGATGGAAGAGAGGGGTCGGGGCGAGAGGAGGGTAAGGGGGGAAGGAAAGAGGGTTCTCTTTTGTGTGGCATTCGTTATCACGTTGTTTGTGGATAGAAGGGAAGGGACATTGCTTGTGTGTAAGTAAAGTTTCAACTTAAGTTAGCAGTATTTCTGTCTCTTCCCTCTGCGTGCTTGTCACTGCATCAGGAATGCTGCTGCCAAACAGGGGACGCCACGTGTAACCATCATGGCATCCCCTCACAGCATCGCGGCAATGAAGCCTCTGCAGCACTGAATCTTCCTGTGTGTACTTATAACGAGGCAATTCCGAACACCCCTGTGTGTGCTTGTATCGGGTCGCCTTCTATCGAGTCTCTTGCCACTTCTCTCAACCGAAGAGGCCCTGATCGATCCTCCGCCCTCTCCCTTCAACTGCCGTTCCCCACCACCACCAGCTCCTCTCCACCGCTTCCCACCACCACCAACACCACCAGTTCCTCTCCGCTTTCCACCACCTCCAACACCCAGTCCCCACATCCCATCACCTTCAACACCTCTCCACCGCTTCCAGCCGCTGCCAAGGCATCGCTGCCTCAACTGAGTATCAGCAGCACATCTGAGACCTCTCCACCGCTTCCCACTGGACTCCACCCCATCACTCGCCTGTCCTTGCTAGCTTCGGTGCTGCAGGTTCGGGGCGAGGACGATGGCGTGGGGGAAGGAGGCGACGCGATGGGAGGAGAGAGGGTGAGAGGAGGAGACGAGGGACGAGGAGAGATGATGAATCGAGGGGTGCAGAAAGCCTCAGAGAAAAGGGAAGGTGGTCAAAGGGAGGGCCTTGAGTGCGAGAGAGGAAGGAATGAGGAGGGAGGAAGTGATTTCCAATCAGCTGTCCAGGGAGAAGGTAGGGAGTCAAGAGTAAGAGAGGGAGGGGAGTTGCGAGGAGAGGGAAGCAAGGCAAGAGGAGGAGAGGGAGGGGCGGTATCACAGCCACTGATGGATCAGCATGGCAATGCCCTCTTATTTAACGGTATAAATAACACCCTCCCCCTCACCACACCCCCCCGTTCCCCACCCCCCCACCCCCCTCCTCTCCCACTTTATTTTTTGGCACTGTGGCATCTGGAGAGATTACGTGCCTTTTGTGTTAGGAATCAACGCGTCAATCAATCCCATCCCATCAGCTAGCAAACTTTTGAACAGCACTTTTCCAGCAATGGATTTCTACTGAGACGCTTTGTGTTGCGCAATGGGCAGGTGAAGTATTTGGTGGGCTGCCCGGCCTTCAACCAGAGAAGAACGATGCCCAGTGCCTTCTCTCCGCCCTCTCTGCCTGCTGCTCCTGCCGCTGCACCTCCCCCCGAACCCTCAACACAACCGCTGGTGCGGCCGGCAGCAAGGGTGGTCATGACAACACTTCCACCACCAGTAGTAAAGACCATATCAGCAGCGACAACTGCAGCAGCACCAGCACCAGCAACGGCGGCGCAAGCAGCGGCAGCAGCAGCAGCAACATCCCATCAACTCTTGTTTCCTCCTCACAACCACCCTCCTCCTCTCCTCCCTCCACCCATCCCTCCCCCTCCTCCTCCCCTCTCTCCGCCCATCCCGCTCCCCCCTGCCCCCACCCTCACTCCGTCCCCCGCCTGCTCTCCTCCCTCCGCGGCCCCTGCACCCCCTTCTCCGCCCCAGTCCCCTGCACCTCTCTCCCTGCCCATTCCCCTCACCTCTCCTCCCCTCTCTCCGCCCGTCCAGCAAACCCCTGCGCCCACCCCCACTCCGTCCCCCGCCTGCTCTCCTCTCTCCGCGGCCCCTTCGCGCTGGCCTATTGGCAGGCGACAGCTGGCACGCTGTGGTTGGCCCGCGACTTCATGGGGCGGCGCAGCCTGCTATTTCACGGGCCTTGTTGGGAGGACGGGGGAGGGGAGAAGTGGATAGGGGATGAAAGTAGGGGGGAGGAGGGTAGTGGGGAGAAGGGGAGAGGGGAGGAAGAAAGAGATGGGGAGGAAAGAGGGGTGGAGAGAGGAGGGCGGAGCACTTTTGTGGTGAGCAGCGTGTGCCCCTCGCCTCGTCCTCCCTGCCTCTTGGCTACCGATAGAGCAGAGAGGGAAGGGCGGACAGGAGAGGGGACAGTGGAGCGGAGGGTAGAGAGAGGAGGGAGTGTGAGAAAGGGAGCAAGACGAAAAGGAGCAGAGAGAGGTGAACGAGGGATTGAAACAGAGGGAGGAGGAGGGGAGGTAGGAGGAGGAAGGAAAAGTGGTGGTAGTGGAGAAGCGGTTGACCAGAGTGGTTTGAGTTCTAAGTTGACTCAGAACTCGGCAGGAGGAGGAGGAGGAGGAGGAGGAGGAGGAGGAGGAGGAGGAGGAGGAGGAGGAGGAGGAGGAGGAGGAGGAGGAGGAGGAGGAGGAGGAGGAGGAGGAGGAGGAGGAGGAGGGGGAAGAGGAGGCGGTGGTGGGGAAGCGGCTGATCAGAGTGACAGAAGTGGATTGCCCGAGTTTGGGTACTGGCAGGAACTGCCATGCGGGATATTCAGCACTGCGCTTTCATCGTATAGCGCTGTTCCTTCACATGGGGAGGGAGTGAGTGAGGGGCTTAGAGAGAGTGAGGGGGTGAGTGGGGGGTCGAGAGAGAGTGAGGGATTGGGGGTGAGAGAGGACGAGTGGGAGTGGTTTCGGCACGAATGGGAGGATGAAACAGTCCAGCGACTGCTGACATGGCAGCGACCAGTGGCAGCTGACGTGTCAACCCAAGGTGCCGAGCTGGCAGGAGGTGGCGCTGAGGTGGCGCACTCTGGTGCTGAGCTGGCGGCAGGTGATGCGGCTGACTCAGCAGCAGATGGTGTGTTGTCAGCACTGGATAGAGCAGTGGGGATCCGAGTGACGCATATTCGAGAGAGAAGTTGCATTCGTGAAGGGAAACCTATCGACCCACTGAACCGACAAGGGCATGTGAAGCAGCCAAGTGGAGAGGGGGAGGTGGCAGCAGCGGCAGGGAGTGTAAGCAGGGAGGAGGAGGCCGAGGTGGCAGCAGTGGCGATGTTGTTCTCAGGAGGGCTCGACTCCATGCTGCTGGCCGCCCTGGCCCACCGCCACGTGCCCATCCACCGTGAGTGCTTGCATGCGTGCGTGGGTGGGTGTGTGCACGAGTGCATGTGTGCATGTCTGTGCAGCAGCAGGGAGTGTGAGCAGGGAGGAGGAGGACGGGGTGGCATCGGTGGCGGTGCTGTTCTCAGGAGGGCTCGACTCCATGCTGCTGGCAGCTCTGGCCCACCGCCACGTGCCCATCCACCGTGAGTGCTTGCATGAGTCTGCAGCAGCAGGGTGTGTGCGTGCATGTGTGTGCAGTAGCAGGGAGCAGGAGTAGCGGGTAGCGCCAGTGGCGATGTTGTTCTCAGGAGGGCTTGACTCCATGCTGCTGGCAGCTCTGGCTCACCGCCTTGTGCCCATCCACCGTGAGTGCTTGCATACATGGGTGTCTGCATGCTTGCGTTGGTGTGTACTGGCAGGGAGTGTGAGTAGGGAGGTAAGGAAGAGGTAGCACCGGTGACGGGCGGGTGGTGCTGTTCTCAGGGGGGCTGGCTTGACTCCATGCTGATAGCGGCTCTGGCCCACCGCCACGTGCCCATCCACCGTGAGTGCATGCATGGGTGATGCATGAGTGCATGTATGAGTGCATGGGTTTTCAGCAGCAGGGTGAGTGCATGAGTGCGTGCATGCGTGTGCATCAGCAGGTTGTGTGAGCAGGGAGGAGGACGAGCGGGTAACACCGGTGGCAGTGCTGTTCTCAGGGGGCCTGACTCGACTCCATGCTGCTGGCGGCTCTGGCCCACCGCCACGTGCCCATCCACCATGAGTGCATGGGTGCCCATCCACCATGAGTGCATGGGTGCCCATCCACCATGAGTGCATGGGTGCCCATCCACCATGAGTGCATGGGTGCTCATCCACCGTTAACCGAGCTTCTGCCTTTGTTTCTCCATCTTGTTAGGTTCTTCTACTCCTCTCCTTTTGCTCGTATTATGTCTACTTTTTTCCCCTGTTGCTTCTACAAAACTTCTCGTCCCTACTTCTGCAATGTCATTGGGTGATGCTCAATCATCCGCCTCCTCCTCCTCCTCCTCCTCCTCCTCCTCCTCCTCCTCCTCCTCCTCCTCCTCCTCCTCCTCCTCCTCCTCCTCCTCCTCCCTCCTCCTCCTGCCCCAAAGCTCACATTCCCTTCCCTCCTCTCGCAGGTCCCATCGAGTTGCTGAATGTGAGCTTCGCCGGGGCAGCAGCACCGGACAGGCAGACAAGAAGGCACAGCCCCCACCCTGCCCCCCTATCTCCACACTTACCGCTCCTTCCCCCACCTCCCCCCTCACCTCAGGCCCCATCGAGCTGCTGAATGTGAGCTTCGCCGGGGCAGCAGCACCGGACAGGCAGACAGCGAGAGCGGGAGTGAGGGAGCTGGTGGGGGCATGCGAGGGGAGGAGGTGAGAGAGACGGGAGATTGTGGCAATATCAGCTTTTGAATGTGAGCTTTGCGGGTGCAGCAGCACCGGACAGGCAGACAGCGAGGATGGGAGTGAGGGAGTTGGTGGGAGCATGCGAGGGGAGGAGGTGAGAGAGACGGGGGATTGGTGTAGGTGAATGGCATATCTGGTGAGGGTTATTTCGAGTCTTACCCTGTTTTTGAGCTCCCTCGTGCTGCAGGCAGGTGGCATCTGGTGGAGGTGGATTTGACACTCTCAGAGGTGGCAGAACCTCACACCTGACTCACCCATCACCTCCTCTGTTCTCGTATGCTACAGGTGGCATCTGGTGCAGGTGGATTCGTGCCTTTCCCTGCTGAGACCTAACTTCCGTAACATTCTCTTATCTGTTTCCATTTACTCGCAGTGCAGGTTTCATCTGGTGGAGGTGGATTCGACCCTCTCAGAGGTGGACCAAGTCAAAACGCACCTGCTGTCCCTGCTCTGCCCATCGCACACGCACATGGTATGTATGTGCATGCCCATCACTTCATTAATGGTTAAGCTATGGTTCATCACTTCATCGCTTCAATATGGTCAATGCACAGCAATGGCATCAATCATAACATCAAACGAGACTAGTCTGAGGAGAAAAACTTGGGACAATAAATGAAATGCACAGTGGAGGCCTCAGTGCCGCAGTAGGATGAGTGAGACTCTGAGGTGACTTTTGAGTCGACTCAGCACTCCTCAGTTAACCACACGTAAGTAAACAACTTAAGGGGTCGACTCAAAAATCTGATCAGTAAACCACACCTAGGCAAGCAGAGTCAGGTACTCATCTCAACACCTTCCTCCCTTCTTGTACCCCCAGGACCTCAACATTGGTGCAGTGCTGTGGCTGGCTGCAAGGACGAAAAGCTCTATCCCGTCCACCAGCACTATGGCGAACAGTGCTACTGACTGCTCTCTCTGTGTCTCTCCTGCCTCCCTTCTTCTACCCCCAGGACCTCAACATTGGTGCAGCACTGTGGCTGGCTGCCAGAGGGGAGGGCAGAATGATCCGCTATGGGGGGAAGGAGGAGGGCGATGGGGGGGAGGAGGAAGAGGGCTGCAGAGCGGTGACGGGTAGTGAGGAGCGGTACAGAGCACATGCGCGAGTGGTGCTCGTGGGAACGGGCGCAGATGAACAGTGTGGGGGGTATGCCCGCTACAGGACGAAATTCCGACAAGGAGGGTGAGTGAGATGGGCAGGCAGGTGGAGTAAGGCCCAAGGGAAGGAAAACGAGGTGGGCAAATAGTTGAAGGGGGGTGGAAGGCGTGTGGAGGGGAGTGTGGGACTCAGGTAAGGGCATTGTGAGGGGCAGTGTGGAGAGGCAGTGTTCACTAGTCAACAGGTCAAAGTTCAGGCGAGGAGGAAAGTTGGAAAGGCAGGAGTCTTGAGTTGGATTTTTGGTACAGCCATGGCATTTTTCACCCTTTTAACCTTACTCTGAATATGGTTCACCCTACCACATTGCACCAGATTGCACCGTATCACACGCTTCCCTCCATTTTTCAGCCCCTTGAGAGTGAGTGAGAAGCGGGGGAAACTGCAGCACTTGCGGCACTAGTGGTTCCCCTCGCTCCTCTCACACATATGCTCTCACACATATGCTCTCACACATATGCTCTCACAAATATGCTCTCACACATATGCTCTAACACATATGCTCTCACACATATGCTCTCACACATATGCTCTCACACATATGCTCTCACACATATGCTCTCACACATATGCTCTCACACATATGCTCTCACACATATGCTCTCACACATATGCTCTCACACATATGCTCTCACACATATGCTCTCACACATATGCTCTCACACATATGCTCTCACACATATGCTCTCACACATATGCTCTCACACATATGCTCTCACACATATGCTCTCACACATATGCTCTCACACATATGCTCTCACACATATGCTCTCACACATATGCTCTCACACATATGCTCTCACACATATGCTCTCACACATATGCTCTCACACATATGCTCTCGCACATATGCTCTCGCACATATGCTCTCGCACATATGCTCTCGCACATATGCTCTCGCACATATGCTCTCGCACATATGCTCTCGCACATATGCTCTCGCACATATGCTCTCGCACATATGCTCTCGCACATATGCTCTCGCACATATGCTCTCACACATATGCTCTCCCACATATGCTCTCCCACATATGCTCTCCCACATATGCTCTCCCACATATGCTCTCACACATATGCTCTCACACATATGCTCTCACACATATGCTCTCACACATATGCTCTCACACATATGCTCTCACACACATGCTCTCACACACATGCTCTCACACACATGCTCTCACACACATGCTCTCACACATATGCTCTCACACATATGCTCTCACACATATGCTCTCACACATATGCTCTCACACATATGCTCTCACACATATGCTCTCACACATATGCTCTCACACATATGCTCTCACACATATGCTCTCACACATATGCTCTCACACATATGCTCTCACACATATGCTCTCACACATATGCTCTCACACATATGCTCTCACACATATGCTCTCACACATATGCTCTCACACATATGCTCTCACACATATGCTCTCACACACATGCTCTCACACATATGCTCTCACACACATGCTCTCACACACATGCTCTCACACACATGCTCTCACACACATGCTCTCACACACATGCTCTCACACACATGCTCTCACACACATGCTCTCACACACATGCTCTCACACACATGCTCTCACACACATGCTCTCACACATATGCTCTCACACATATGCTCTCACACATATGCTCTCACACATATGCTCTCACACACACTCTCTCTGACCCCAATGCGTGTGTGCCTCCTCTCCCACTTCCTTCCCCAGCTGGCCATCCCTAGAGAGTGAGATGGGGGAGGATATGCAGCGTCTGTGGCACTTGTTGTTCTGCACACACATCCACTCACACACGCTCACACACCTCTTTCCATGTGCAATCCACGTGCCTCATGTCCCTTCCTTCCTCCCTTTCTTCCCTAGCTGGAGAGCGAGATGAGGGAGGATGTGCGGCGCCTGTGGCACGTGTGCCCCACAAAGCACGCACTCACTCACCTCGTCCACAATCCACATGCACATGCCTTACCTCCCTTTTTTCGCGCTTCTCTTCTGCCCCAGCTGGCCGTCCCTGGAGAGTGAGATGAGGGAGGATGTTCGTCGCCTGTGGTGCCGCAATCTGGGTCGGGACGACCGGTGTCTGTCGGACCATGGCAGAGAGGTCTGCTCCTGTAGTCAAAGGAGAGGGGTGTGCCTCCCTTCTTTTCCATCCCAGCTGCCCATCCCTAGAGAGTGAGATGAGGGAGGACGTGCACCGCTTGCGGCGCCGCAACCTGGGTCGGGACGACCGGTGTCTGTCAGACCACGGCAGAGAGGTCTGCTCCTTTAGTCAAAAGAGAGGGGTGTGCCTCATATCTTCTCTCTCTTCGTCCCTCCCTTCTTTCCCAGTTGGCCATCTCTAGAGCATGAGATGAGGGAGGACGTGCGTCGCCTGTGGCGGCGCAACCTGGGGCGGGACGACCGGTGCCTGTCGGACCATGGCAGAGAGGTGAGGTGCACCTGTTTCATCTCATTACCTGTAATCTTATGTTCTAGTCCACTTGAGAATCGCAATCTGGGTCGGGATAACCAGTGCCTGTCAGACCACAGGAGAGAGGTGAGGTGGGCTCGTTTCATCTCATTACCTGTGAAGGTCTTCGTTAGTCCACTCAAGAATCGCAATCTGGGACGGGACGGCCGGTGCCTGTCGGACCACGGCAGAGAGTTGCGCTTCTTTCATTGCAGTACCTGCTCCTATTCTCCCTTACACCAGAAGAATGTTTTCCCCTTTATCCTTTATGGCAATTCCTGCTTTTTTTAGTTTGTCAGCAGGCACGAGATTGATTTTTTTTTTTTTTTCCATACTATTTTTGCTCTTATGTTTTATTCCCACCAGCCACGCTTCCCTTTTTTGGACGAGGGAGTGATGAGCGCGCTGCTGGACATCCCACTCCCTCGCATCACCAACCTGCACCTGCCACCGGGCACGGGAGACAAGCTCATATTGCGGCAGGTGAGTGCCAGAGGTATACGTTGCTCCAACCCCCTCTCCCTCTCCCTCTCCCTCTCCCTCTCCCTCTGCTTCACATCACCAACCTGCACCTGCCACCAGGCACGGGAGACAAGCTCATATTGCGGCAGGTGAGAGTTAGAGTCGATATATAGGCAAGGAATTGATGGGCGCACTGCTTTCTCTCCCTCTGCCTCTGCTCACCAATCTGCATCTCCCTCCAGACACTGTAGAGCAGCTGCTGCTGCGACAAGTGCGAGTCTCAGGTCTAGGTTGTTCCCATCATCTTGCCAGTTGTCTCTGCATCACCCTCCGGGCACAGGGTTGTGCTGCGACACTTGAGTTCTAGTGCAGTATAGGCTGTTTTTGTCCTCGTGTCCCTTATGAGCGACACGACAGGTGGTAGATGGTTTTCTAGTTCTCGTACCTGGTGAGCAACCCTCGTTACCCTAATGAGTGACATGGTGTGACATGGTGTGACCTGATGTGACCTGATGTGACATGGTGTGATCCTGAGTAACATTGTGATAACCCTTGTTGATTGTGACATGACATTGTTGTCACTCGATCACTTGTCAAAATGAGCACAGTAGACGAGCCTTTCATTATTTTCATTCTTTCTGCACCGCACTCTCATCATCCTCTCATCATTGGCAGATTGCTCGCAAGCTGGGTCTGGCAGGAGCTGCTGCATTGCCCAAACGAGCCATTCAGGTATGCCATGCACTTTCTGCTACAACTGAGTGAGTGTAGGACTTCTTCACACCCTGGTCCAAAATGTTTGCACATGTATATGAATGCTTTGCTTCTCAAATGTATTTCTTGGCCCGTCTCTGCTTTGCTACAACGCTACACATATATGTATGTACCTGTTTCACCTATACTGTGACATACTCCAGTTTGGATCACGCATTGCTAAGGAGGCCAATAAGAGGGACTTCGGAAGTAATAGAGCTGCTAATTCGGCAGCAGTTGGTGAAAGATCGATATTTGTTGGCACTTGACTGGAGTCCACTGCAAATACATTATATGTGCATCTATTGAGCCTTGCTGGCACTTGGAATGCAACGTGACATGAAATGATTATCTACCAGAGTCAACGGTGAATGAAACTTTAGCAGCGACAGCCATGATTCAGCCTTTTTAGTTGATTTGGTGTCTATGCAGGATTACATGGTTGGCGTTTCCTAACACCTGCACATGACCTATTGTACTGGAGAGGCTCCTCTTCAATTTTATCTGTTACAGCTCGATACAATAACAAAACAGCTGATACCTCTGACATGGCATCACTAGGTGCATGTTCCAATCACGGACGACATTGCCGATGAGTAGGCTACGAAATGGATGCCTCTTGATTCCGACGTGGCAACGTTCCACTGGCGAGATTCGCTTTGTCGACCTAGCAGTGCGACCAAAAGAGATGGCGAAGCCCACGAGGCTCCAATCCAAGGGACAGGGGACCATCTAATCGCACATCCAGCTGCCTGCAAGGCAGCCTCGTCACATTCCGCTCCGCCTGCTGCTGCAACATTCGTGCTTCCCCCAGACCCCAAAATTCTACAACGCGCATTCTCGAAATTCCCCCCCAGTTCCCGTGTTCATCTTCCGCCGATAGCCGTTCCCCCCGCCTCCCCGCGCATTCCCCTCTCCGCTTCCGCCAAGAGTCATCCTGCGTCCTGAATCCTGATACTCACACCAGCTCGAGCCAAGATAAGAGCAGAGCTTTTCCAACGCATTTTTCAGTCTGTTCTGCTGAGCCGATCTCCCTGCTCTCTCGATCTTTCTCAGCAATTCTCGCTGCTTCTTCCTCGTCTCTGATCATGGCTTGCGCCACGGCCTCCACTCTCACCGCGACCACCCTCAAGGGTGCCGTCGCGCTCCGCAAGTCGGAGCTCCTCGGGAACTCCGTCTCCGTCGCTCCCTCCAAGGCCAAGGCCGTCCGCGCCGCGCCGGCCGTCTCCGCCATGTACCAGGACTCGGCCTACAACTTCCAGAATTTCAAGTTCCAGCCGATCAAGGAGTCGATCGTCGCTCGCGAGATGACCCGTCGCTACATGACCGACATGATCACCTACGCCGACACCGACGTGGTCGTCGTCGGCGCGGGATCCGCGGGCCTCTCCTGCGCGTACGAGCTGAGCAAGAACCCTAACGTCAACGTCGCCATCATCGAGCAGTCCGTGAGCCCCGGCGGTGGCGCGTGGCTCGGCGGACAGCTCTTCTCCGCCATGGTGGTCCGCAAGCCCGCGCACCGCTTCCTCGACGAGCTCGAGATCGCGTACGACGAAGAGGAGGACTACGTGGTGATCAAGCACGCGGCGCTCTTCACGTCCACCATCATGAGCAAGCTGCTCGCGAGGCCCAACGTGAAGCTCTTCAACGCCGTGTGCGCCGAGGATCTGATCATCAAGAATGGACGTGTAAGTCTCTCCTGATGTCTCAATGATTCCATTGGCTGACACTTCCTCTCCAAATTTTAGTCACATCGCTAACAATTCACTTTCAGAATGTTGCAACCAGATTCATTCCGCTCAGCCTAATAATTTTCCACCTTTCCTGTCTGTTTCTCACATGTACAGGTTGGCGGTGTGGTGACCAACTGGGCGCTGGTCTCCATGAACCACGACACGCAGAGCTGCATGGACCCCAACGTCATGGAGGCTAAGGTCGTCGTGTCTTCCTGCGGCCACGACGGGCCCTTCGGCGCGACCGGCGTGAAGCGTCTCAAGAGCATCGGCCTGGTCGACAAGGTCCCCGGCATGAAGTGCCTCGACATGAACATTGCTGAGGACGCCATTGTGCGCTACACCCGCGAGGTGGTCCCCGGCATGATCGTCACCGGCATGGAGGTCGCCGAGGTTGACGGCGCTCCCCGCATGGTACGGATCCGAGCCTTTCGCCGTCTATTTTCTGACTGTTCAGATTCTAATTCTCTGCCTTGGCTCGCCGGATCGCTATGGTGTGTGGATGTTGCTGTTTTTTTTTTTTTCCCCTTTCCCCTGTGTGTATGGCGATTTGTTGCTTTGTGTGAGCAGGGTCCTACCTTCGGAGCCATGATGGTGTCTGGGCAGAAAGCGGCTCACCTCGCCCTCAAGGCCCTCGGCCTCCCCAACGAGGTTGACGGTTCCGTGTCTGCTCTCTCTGCCCGTCCCGAGCTTGTTCTTGCCTCTTCCGATGACACCCCTGCCTCTGCTTAAGTGTCTGTTTGCCTGTTCACCAGCACTAGGGGTGCCTAGCCCGGGGCTCGGGAAGGCTGAGAACACACCCTTACCACCTGACCAGGGTAATGCCTGCGAAGGGAAGTGCATGGTCTGTGTAAATGTGTGTGCGCTCTTTGCATGGTCGTTTTTACATAGACTGAAGCACTGGGGGTGCCTCGGGAGACTAGAGCTCCCTATGGCTGAGAGTATACCCTTACCACCTGAACAGGATAATGCCTGCGAAGGGAATGTGCTTTATCTTAATGGATATTTTCTTGGTAAATCATGTTCCACAGCTGGCTCTATGAGCTTTCCCCATTAAATTATAGGTGCATGATCATCACCCAGCAATGCTAGCTAACCCCTGAGATATATTTCTACGATCACCTTCACGGCTTTTGACATCCGTCATAACTCTTAGACCAAGACATCTCTCACGACTGTTAGATCCGCCTGGACCATAGGACCTACACCTCCACCTGTTGAGACATCCATCTCCCCTAGTGTCTTCACGAGTAATGACTCTCATATCTTACAACTAGACATCCTTCTGCATGACCGATGGTTCTCAACATTCATCAGCATGATTCTCAACATTCATTAGCGTGATTCTCAACACTCATCAGCATGATTCTGGACACTCATCAGCGTGATTCTCAACATTCATTAGCATGATTCTCAACTTTCACTAGAATGATTCTCAACATTCATCAGCATGTCATTCAACATTCATCAGCATGACATTCAACATTCATCAGCATGACTCTCAACATTCATCAGCATGACTCACATCTTTTTACTCGATGTTAGGTATTCATCCGATTCCAAGACATTGATCTGTCAAGTCTAACACCAGTGCAAGATAAATATTCATCTGCACCAGACATTAATTCACACGATTCCATACATTCACTTCTGAGACTCTAAGCATCATTCCGCGAGTCTCAAGTTATCATTCGTCCGTGCAGAGCTTCATCGGCATAGCCCTAGGAGTTTCAAAGTCCTGAAACCTTAGAGCGCAGCAGCATACCGACTCCAGCCTAGACATCTTTTTAGTGTTTCACATGAAAGTCCTATTTCTGATGATGACGTCAACCATAGCCACGTTCAGGTTCCCTTAGGGTGGCCTTAACACCTTCAGGATTTCTCAGGAAGACCCTAGCCCGTGAAGCATTTCCCTTGAAGACCCTAGCCTCGTTCAGCATTTCTTAGGAAGACCCCAGCCTCGTTCAGCATTCCTTACCGTAGTAAGAACCTAGCCTCGTTCAGCATTCCTTAGGAAGACCTAGCCTCATTCAGCATTCCTTAGGAAGACCCTGGCCTTGTTCAGCATTCCTTAGGAAGACCTAGCCTCATTCAGCATTCCTTAGGAAGACTCTGGCCTTGTTCAGCATTCCTTAGGAAGACCTAGCCTCGTTCAGCATTCCTCAGTCAAACTCATTCATCCGCAGCACGATCCCTGGTAGTACTCTTCAAAACGTACCAGTTTCTGTTTATTTTTCAACGTGAACAGTCAATATACAGCACAGTCTACCAGCTTAATTTACCAAGTCCATGTAAACAGGGCTGTCAATTCGGAAAGATATATCCATTGACAGCACAGCCCTGAACACGAGTGAAGACAATAAGCAGCTGAAACACTTTTCACTCTGCTTTAGATGCCGTTCAGCATTTCTCATCACTGCCCTCAAATCCTTCAGCATTCTTCAATCCGATCTTAGTATTCATACGGTATTTTCTTCTGTTGCGTTTCTCATTTTAGTGTCATGCATTTCCAGCACGAGCCAACATCCTCCATTTTCAGCAACACTTACACCTTCTCCAACTTAGGATCCAGCATGCCCTCAAACAGTCCCCCAGTCGCCACCATAATACTTTCAGCATCACATTGAGCAGCTAACACATCTTCATTTCATCAGAATTCTGTCATGTTTCATAACTTCCCAGCACTGTTTTGCCATACACTGACTATAGCGTGCCTTGGGTTACTGAGTGACATATTTTTTCAGAAACAATGCTGGAAATGGTCCACGCACTCCTGTTTTCTCTTAGCACCGGCTGTCACTCAAATGCCACTGACTGCCCATTCAAGAATAACGTCTTGTCCTTGGATTTTACCTCTATTGGCCATCATGCTCTTTCTGCCTTAAACCTTTGAAACTTCCTTTGTGTTCCATGTTCATTTTGCCATTGTCTCCGCTGCTGTCTTTCCCATTCTGTTACCAAGTATTGTCTCCTATCCCAGTGCTATCACTATACTCATCAAGCCATCCTTTCTACCCATGTGTATTTTTCCCTTGACCCCAAGATTTGACCCTCTGTAGCCTTTTCTCTTGCATCCCTTCCTCTTCCGTCCACTTCCCCTTTCTCATTCCCCTCCCAGATTTATACAATGCTACCCTTTTCCCTCCCTACGCCCTCTCCTTCTCAGCCTGCCCCCAATCTCGACTGTCAAGGTTTAGTTGTGAGAACTGCTTCATCCAGTCTGCTTCCCACTCACGAACCTCACTGCGACATCTTACTACCATTTTGTGTTTTGAGTCGACTCAAAGCACACCTCAACCGCTGTGGTTGCCTCATCCTGTCTGGTTCCCCGCTCAGAGCTCACTGTCGCATTTTACTACCATTCTGTGTTTTGAGTCGACTCCAAGCACACCTCGGCCGCCATGGTTTGCGTGAGGGCTGCCTCGTCCAGTCTGTTTCCCCCTGTACTCACTGCCACATTTTGCTCCCGTTCTGCCATCCTCATTTGTCATGCGCTTGTTAAGTTTGCCGAGTTGTTACAGCACATTGTGTTCGTTGGAGGAGGAGGTAGGAGCGGTATGTTGCCCACTCAAACTTCTAGACTCATGTCATCGTACGCACTTGGTCATTTGTTCGAATTTCCTGCAATGTCTAGCTTTTCCTCATATTTCCTCTTCGCTTTTTCACAAGCTGGTTTCGCTCCTGGTACGGCAGGCTAACATGTGTACGGTAAGTTTCTGGCACAGGTTGACACACCAGGCCTAAAGGTCAGGTTTACCACGCTTACTGTTGAGTTTTAATGTGTTTTCTGTTTCCAACATGTATCTGGCCTTGTCAGGTTGTTACTACTGTAATATTGGCATACCATCTTGCAATTTTCCATCTTGTGTACCGGAGCTGATTATATTTGTGCGGTATGGTTGGCAGCATAATGCTATGCAAGCCACATGTTCAGTTCAGTGCATTCTCTTAAATCCGCTTCTCTAACAGTTTAACACTCTTCCTCCTCAGATTGGGAATCTCTCGGAGATGGAGCAGCTGAAACTTTATTCCTGGCCCAAACTGTCTAGCTTGCCTGATTCCATGTTCAAGCTCGTCGACCTCTACACTCTCGAAATTGTAACCTGCCCGGCTTTTGATAAAATGGTCAATGGAATTCCTGGGCTTCCACATGCGGAGATCGTGCGGGAAAGCAGTCGCGAAGAGTGGGGAAGCGACGACGAGTGGGGAAGCGACAACGAGTGGGGAAGCGACGACGAGTGGGGAAGCGATGACGAAGGGTTGCTTTAGAAGTATTTATGCACGTGGGTGCATTGCGTACCTATTACCTAGATGAAGGGTGACGATGTATTTATTGCTCTGCTAGTTGAAGTGCTAGCAAATCTATCCCTTGGCTCTAGGTGGGTTTGCTCCGTCTCTTTCCTTCTTACCGTACCGTACCATCCCATCTCATCCCATCCATCACTCCCTCTGATCCCGTAGTTCCTATACTAAAACATACGGTACAACTAGGGCCTCACGGCACACCAGTAGGGTATCTGCACTGTTTCCAGATTCACACACACACAAACCAGGAACTCAGAAGAAAATGCCATTCTATGGTGCCAAGGTGCTGAAGAATCTGGCGCGGCGCCTTACTCTCATCCATCTTTTAAGGTGCTCACGAGTCACGAATGTTATGGAGACTTGATTGCTTTATATGGCACTCAACAGCCTTTTTATATCAAAACAAAAACTATGCACCTATTGTACCTATTATAAATGACATTTGGATATGGCAAACCTTACCAAGCTCAAGTTCTAGTGTTATGTCAAGCAACAGACTTCCTTCACCATGCAGTGCAAGTCCTGTTCACTGTATTGGAAGCCTAGACCTGCTGCTGGTCCGCCTTTTCCTCGGCGTCCACCTGATTGCGATCAAGACAAATTGAAGTTTAAGAAAGTGGGATGCAGGAGTGGAACAGGGAGGAGAGGAGCAGAGGGGAGAGAGTTGGTAAGGGGGGAAAGCGGGGTGGTACTGGGACAAGAGGTACACCTGTGCCCATGCGTGTGTATGGTAATGATAAGTGGGAGAAGAGGAACATCTCGCTCATAAGTCAAAAGGCTTGTTTCAGAAAGGGACACGCAAATGAGTGGTAGTGGAAGTGCGTGCAAGTGAGAGTAAATGGCTAGGGCTGGGGGTAAGGGGCCAGGAGGGGACAAGCAGGTGGGGGATGGGAGGAAAGAAATGGGGGGGGGGGAGGTGCAAAAACGATCAGCCATACAGAAGGATATAAACTTTCCTCTGCCTTTCCTCCGCCCATCTCATACAGTCAATGGGTGTATGTACTCTCCTTATAGCCAAATGTGGCACACCACAAAAGAACCACTACCAGCTTTTGCATATATTCTCCTTCTCCTCTTGCACTTGCTCTTCCTCCAACAGTACTCACTTTGAGCATGCCCTCCCCTTCACTCACCATCCATACCTGCTTGAAACAGCCACCCTCTCCCAGAAACTCTCACCTGTTTTCACACCGTGGGCGTTTCCTACCCCTGCTGCTGGCAGGGCTGGGATGGCTTGACCGGCCATGGGGTCCCTGACTTGTACTGGCCATCTTCACTAACTTCTCTCGAATTGATCTTCTCTACCGGCGCTTCCCACTTGATGTCTTTTCCAGCCGTCTCCCGTTTCTACATGGCCTGTTTGCGAGCCGCTTCTCCCGCATGCTGCGGGCCTCGTCTCCCCTCGCATGCTTCTCTGCAATGGCTGCCACTCGATCTGCCTCATTGGGCCATTTCTGGTCGAGTAGAGGGCAGCAACAGGGACAAGCTAGGCCAGTGAGTGTAAGCAGGGTTGTGGCATATAGTGAGGGCAGCCAATGGCAGCCACTTGTTCCGCCTCATTGGGCCAATTCTGGACGAGTGGAGGGCAGCAATATGAACAAGGGAAACAGGGTTGCAGCATGTAATCAGGATACCAATCGCAGTGGCTCGTCCCGCTTCATTGGCCCATTTCTGGACGAGAGGGAGACATACTCATTCAATACACATGTTTTTCGCAGACGGACCCTTTTATACTCAAACTGAATGCATGCACACACTTGAAACCGACCCCATTCTATTCAAATCACCTGTCGGAATGTCTTATGTCTGTACAGTACTCTTCCCTTCACAAAAAGCTGCGTCATTGGAGCCAGCGCATGCAAGCCAGAGCTCCAAATAACCTCCACCTGAAAGAACGTTCAAACAGAGAAAATCTTGAGAATACTTGAAATTACAGAGTGAAAAATGCGTTAAGGTATGCAGTTTGCATGATGGCAGACGCACAGGCTTATAACGAGTCTTACTGTAAGCTGCTACTTACAAAGGCTGTAGTGTGTGCTTACAGTGAATGTGTGCTGCTGCTTCTTCACACCGTAGCTCTCACTGACCACTCTCCCTGCCACTGACCGATACCCTCCATGCGTTGCCTTCCTCTCATTCCTGCATGGGTCATCAGTTGCATGGGTCATCAGTTGCATGGGTCATCAGTTGCATGGGTCATCAGTTGCATGGGTTATCAGTTGCACGAGTCATCAGTTGCACGATTCATCAGTTGCATGAGTCATCAGGTGCATGAGTCATCAGGTGCATGAGTCATCAGTTGCATGAGTCATCAGTTGCATGAGTCATCAGTTGCATGAGTCATCAGTCGCATGAGTCATCAGTTGCATGAGTCATCAGTTGCATGAGTCATCAGTTGCATGAAATATGCAGGCAAATGCAGGGACTGGAATAAAGCAAGGAATTGGCGTTGCATAACATGGACAACAGGCATGGTATGACATGGGCAAGAGGCATGGTATGACATGGGCAAGAGGCATGGTATGACATGGGCAAGAGGCATGGTATGACATGGGCAAGAGGCATGGTATGACATGGGCAAGAGGCATGGTATGACATGGTATGAAATGGGAGCATGGCATGGCACAAGGTGACGGCAAGCGACTTAGTCAAACGGCAACCATTCGGGACGTGGTTGCAAGAGGCATACTGTAGGCATGCGGTCGCACCACTCAACTCCCCTTGCCTTTCACTCTCCTCCATTCCCTTCCCCTCCCCTTGCAGGCTACAACCTACTCTCGCATTTACAGAGATCAGAGGCAACGAGATGAGATGTTACGATGCAGAAAAAGAGGCGGGCCTTGGGACTGACCTTGGGACTGACCCCGTGGATACTCGCTGATTGAAGAAAACAATGTCGTTTCTGCAAACATCACCTGTGGAATCATTGCATTGAATCAGAAAAAGGAGAGTTCAAACTTCCAGAAAACGCTGGTAAGACGGTGCCGAAGGGTGTGAAAACAGGACCATGTTTCAGCATGCCATGAAACGGTTGTCTCGAATGTGTTCAAACTAACAAAGTCACATAAAATATACCCTGCCCAATGCCTATTTGATTACCTGTACAATCGATGAAGAAGGACGCGCGTGGGTACTGGCGCTTGGCTGACTGAACGTCCTTGAGTCTGTCTTGGAGGGGGAAATAACGAAGGAAATTCTACTGTAAGTATGGAAAAGAGATGAATCATATGGAACAGAAGATAGGCTCCCATCACTTTTTTCACGCTTGAACTTAAATGCCCGCCACGCTTTGCGAATGATTGAAGCAGGAGGCTCTAGTTCGTTTAGGTAAAACAGGGGGGCGTTCGACAACCCAAGAGCGAGATGTCGATCCCTGACGTTTTGATCCGCAAGCGAGGCAGTACATGGCCAGGAACTTACTCGTAATGCCTATGAATGCGGCTGATCAGGTCAGCCTTCGAGTTGCTCGGCCGCAGGCCGTAGTACCGCAGATACGCCTTGCAGAGTTCGCTGGTGAGCTTGCTCCACTCTCCCGCTGACGTGCGAGCCAACGGTGCAAACGGGATCAAACAAAACAAACACGGTACAGGAAAAATGGGAAAAATCAGTCGGAAGGTACGGGGTAAAATGTTATCAATAAAAACGGGTACAGGGTAGTGTTGGGATGTACCTCGTATCAAGGATAACGCCTGCGCGTACGGATTGGATGGCAGAGAGGAGCTTCTGCGATCAGTCAAATTGCCAACAGCCTTCTTTTCCAGACGTTTCGAGCTAGCAGGCTCTGGCAACATGAAGTTGCTTCCTGCTCTTATACTACTTTCCGTTTTGCTGTCCGTTAACTTTCCGTTTTCGTCCACCAACCAGGACTTGTCAACGTGATTGCCCCTAGTATCCCCGTTATTATCGACATCGCTCTCGAAATCACTACTATTATCGCCAGGACTGTCACTATCCCTACTACTATTGCTGTAGCTGTCGTGATTCCTAATATCGCTATTGCTGACACATTCAAAGTCGCTGTCACTTAGCGTTTCATAATCGTCATCACTAAGCGAAAAAACTGTGCATGCGGACCCGCCTTTCGCCATGCTACAACGGTCACGAAGGTGACTTCGTCTAAGCGAAAACCAATTCTATGGGCTGAATGACATCAGATATGAAGCATAGAAACGCCGTTAGGAAAAGTATACTCCAACGAGCCTACAACTGTACTGCCTTGATCGTCAGACGCATAGTCACAGTTCTTAGACTTGGTCGCAGTCACTACGTGACTTCGCAGGTCACGAAAACAGCAGTAGCGGGCTTCAGATTGGATCTGAAAGTTGAAGAAGTAGGTTGCTTTCCAACCCAAGTTGTAAACAGAAAGTTTCACTATGAAAATGTGATACAATGAGGAAAACAGAATTGATATTTAAGCAATCCGAAATCCGAATTTCAAAGTGCGCATCGCGTAACGCGCCTCGTCGCGAATCCGAAATTCGTAACAGTAACCGACGTTGAAAACCGTAATTCAAACTGAACCGTCGGTGAAACCGACTTTCTCCAACTCCACCGAACACCGCCTCCAGAAAGGTTGGGAAAAATTCTGGCGGTCCAGAACGTTCTCCCTTCTCTTCCTCCTGAAACCCTCGTTTTCACCAGCTCTTCCTCACGATCTCTCACCTAACTCCTCCCACCTTCAGAAACTCAATGTCCAGCCTATTCCTTCCCACCACCATAGGTAAGGCATTTTCCAGCCGTCCCGTTTGTCGTTTTTTCGCTCTTGAAGTCGGTGCAGAAGCGAAACCACTTCTAACAATCTCCCCTGTGGTTTGCTGCTGCTAACCCTAGATCTGAAAATCTTCATCACTGTTCTTGCACCTTGCTCCCCTGTAAGTCCTGCAGGTTCCGCATCCCGACGAGATACTTGCAGCGCTCGAAATTAGCATTCGGAAGGACCTTCGTAAGGAAATCGGCTGCTTGATCTCTGTCCGTACGAACACAAAGGTAAATGCCTTTTTCTCCAGCTGTTCACGCACCCAATGGTATTTGATGTCCATGTGCTTTGTACGTCCGTGCCAGTTGTCGTTTTTCGCCAATGCTATGGCCGATTTGCTGTCCGATCTGATGGTAGTTGGTCCTGCAATGTGCATCCCCATTTCTTGCATCAAACGACGAAGCCATACTCCTTCTTGACAGGCATAGAATAATGCCATGTATTCCGCTTCCGCGCTCGAGAGTGCAATATCGTTTAGCTTCTTTGCTTGCCAAGTGATAGCTGTCCCGCCCAGGAGAAAGACGTATCCATAAGCTCCCTTCCGGTCCTTCTTGTCTGATGCATGAGATGCATCAGCATATCCGATTAGCTCCATTGTTTCTTCTCCGCCTTCGTAGAGTAGCCCCTCTTCTCCCCGTTGCTGCAGATAAGCGATTGTGCGCTGCATCTCCTTCCACTTGCGGCCTTCTGGATGCAGCACGTTCTGCCCCAAGAAGCTGTCAGCATGTACGACGTCTACCCGCGTACAAGAGACAGGGTACATCACCGATCCGACGCGTGACTGGTAAGCCTTCAATGCTCGCTCCTTGCTGCCCCATTGGATGAGTTCTTCTTCAGGATTGATTTCTTTCTCCGAGAGGCTGCTGAGCGGAGTTGTCACGGCCTTGGTGCAGCCTGGTGTCCCAAATCGTTCTTGCAGCCGATGAATGTACTTCTTTTGGTAGAGCAGTAGCTTCTTCTCCTCTCGGTCCCGCTCCAGGTTCATGCCAAGGAACAACGTGGCTCGCGGGATCTGCTTCACTTGGAAAACGGCTGCAAGGTGAGCGCACACCTCCTCAACTCTGACCTCCAAAGCTCCGGCCACTAGGATGTCGTCGACGTAGAGTAGGAGATAGACTTTCTCCTCCCCTTCCCCTTTCCAGTAAAATGCTCTGTCGCACTGACTTTTCTGGAATCCTCCTTCAAGGAGGCGTGCATCCATAGCCCTGTACCATTCTCGAGGGCTTTGTTTCAGCCCATAGAGCGCTTTCAGCAGCTTGCATTTTCTGTCAGTACCGTCCTCCATTCCTGTGGGCTGATCCATGTAGATGTCTTCTTGAAGCTCTCCGTATAGAAAAGCGTTCTTGATGTCGAGTTGAACCATGATGTAGTTGCGTGCTGCAACTATCTTGAAGAGTGTCCTTGCTGTAGTCAATTTGCTGACTGGTGCATATGTCTCCGTGTAGTCGATCCCCTCCACTTGCGTATAGCCTTTTGCCACCAGCCGTGCTTTGAACCTCTCCAACTGCCCCATGTCACCTGTTTTTATCTTAAAAATCCACTTGACGCCAACGGCGTGCCTCCCTTCTGGCATTTGGACAAGTTTCCAAGTGCCTCTCTCCGCGAGAGCGTCCAACTCCTCTTGTATAACCGCTTTCCACTGCTCCTTGTATGGTCCTGAAAGTGCCTCCTCGATGCTCATGGGTTCTTGTGGAGAGCTGTAGGACTCTCTCCGTTCCTTCGTGATCAATGCGGTCGCCGTCGACGTGAGAAGGAGGTGAGTGTGCACATCTTTCCAGCATGTCATCAAGACCTGTTGGTATTTCGGATTCGAATTCTTCGTCCGCATCCCTCTTCCCAGCTCCTCTCCTTTCACCGAAGCATCACTTGCACACGTGCCTGCTTCCATCTCCCCTGCTTTCTCCGTGCTTGTACCTCCTTCCTCTCTCCCAATGAGAATAGCACCATCCTGCACCAAGTTGTCGATCTCTGCTGCTCCTTTGTCATTGTTGCTTGTCTCGAAAAATTCCCAAGGGTCGCTTTTGCCCTCAGTCCTTGGCTGCTCTGTTTTTTCAGCTTCATCCTCTCCAATGTCTTCATATTTGTCGCTCGCAGATTTTGGCAGGAGTGGGGTTGTAGGAGGCTCCTCCATGTCACCGCTGTTGAGCGTCTCCTCAGTTGGCTCCCACACCCAATCCACTCCCGGTTGGGTATGTTCCTCCTCATCTTCTTCCCCTTCATTGTTCGCTGTCCCCAAGCCTTCGTTTTGGGCATCTTCAAGCAGTTCCTCCGCTCGTTGAGGTGTGGCAGGTGCTATTCCTGGAGTTGTGCTTTTGTTGCTTGCCTTCCAGTCCACGTAGTTAAGGTTTTCGTAGAATGTCACATCTCTGGTCGCCAGCACAATCCCGGTCTCCACGTCCTTGATGATCCAGCCCTTGCTTTCTGGACATGTTCCCAAGTGCACCCCCCACCTTGCCCTTGGCAGAAGTTTGTGACCAGCTCCAGCAGGAGGCCTGTATTGCGTCATACAGCCCCATACCCGAAGAAACTTCAGGTTAGGCTTCCGTTTGTAGAATGCTTCGTGAGGTGTCAGGTCCGCTACGAGTCCCTTCGTCGGTAGGAGATTTTTCAGCCAGCAAGCCATGCCCAGCGCGTCTCCCCAGTAGGTCAGAGGTAGCTTGCTGTCCGCTATCATGCTTCGCACGCTGTTGAGTAGTGTCCTATTCATCCGCTCCGCAATACTGTTGTGTTGAGGGGTGTGGGGAATAGTACGCTGCCGTCGTATTCCCTTGGCTCTCAGGTAGTCGTTGAACTCCTTGTTGATGAATTCCCCACCGTTATCGGTTCGAAGTACTTTCAGCTGCTTGCCGCTTTGTCGTTCAGCTTCCGCCAACCAGTCCACAAAACTCGGAAAAACCTGAGTTTTATCCTTGATTTCCGTCACCCATGTGAGCCTTGTGCCGATGTCCGTGAATGTAATGAAGTATCTGCTGCCATGTCGTGATGTGACCCTCATTGGACCGCATACGTCCGCTGCCACCACTTCCATTGCCCCATATGGCTCCTTCGGTCCATGTCTTGGATGGGGAGCCTTTGTAGCTTTTCCTTCAACACATGAGTCGCACTTCGTATGGGATTCCTCAGCTCCAGTCACCTTCACTCCCGCTGCCATGTTTTTCTTCATCATCTCCTTGATTCGTTGAGTGCTTGCATGCCCCATCCTTTTGTGCAGGAGATTGATGTCAACTGCTTCCGCCGCTGCTGCCACGGGAAGCTTCAGCTGCTGCAGCTCGGTCACTGCAGTGTTTTCCAGCATGGTACGTAGCTCTTCTCGGGCCTTCTTCCCTTCTTCAGGTTCAGGATGATAGGTAACCATGTCTTTGCGCGAATCTTGCTCCTTCAGCTTCATCTCGTAGAGTCCTTGAGTCCGTGCGCCTTCCGCTAGCAATTTCCAGTCGGGATCGAACACCTACAGCTTTCCATTGTCACTGAAGGTCTTGCAGCCACTACTGTCCAGTTGCGTTTGGCTTATGAGGTTAAGGGACAGCTTCTCCACTAGTAGAACGTTGTCCATTTTCAGCTCCCCATAGGGACTCTGTAAGATCACGTCCCCTTCTCCTTGCACTTGAAGTTTTCCCTCATCCCCGAGTAGGACATAAGGGACTCCGGATTCCCGGTAGTTGCGTAGCCAATCAGCCCGGTGTGTCATATGCTGTGTACACCCGCTGTCCATAAACCAAGCCGTTTCCTTGAATCCTTTTGACAGCAGGCACACCTCGGATGCTCGAGCAACGTTGGCTTTGTGGGCGCCTCCAAGGATGGGGTCCACCTTTGGTGTTTCTTCCACAGTTGCAGGTGCCTCCATCAGGTTTGTCTTCGCTGCTGCTGCTGGCCTTTGTTGTTGCAGCTCTTTTCCTCGAAAGTTTCTGCTAGCTCGGTTGTGGTAGCAATCGGACGCCTTGTGCCCATATTTGCCGCAATGGTTGCAATTTCCATTGAATCCTCCGCTTGCCTTGTAGCCTTCTCCACGTCCCGTCTCGCTGTTTTGCTGCCAGCGCCCTGTCCCTTTGTAGTTTCTTGCATTGGGGTTGGAATAACAGTCCGCAGCTTTGTGACCCTTCTTCCCGCAGTGGTAGCAGCTGCCAGAGTTCCTTGGTGTCGCTGTTGCATTCAGATTTGCAGGCCTGTTGTCCTCTGCTGCCGTTGCCACTGCTTCCCTCCTTTTCAGGTCAGATTTGACCAGCTCAAGCGCCTGGAGGGTCTCGAGCAGCTGGGTCATATCCTTGGGCGTGTTGCAGGTCAAGATTCCGATTTCTGCCGTCCACTCCTTAGGTAAGCCATCATGTGCTTCTCTGATTCGGGTGCCCCCATTGCCGTGAGATCGTCATTGTAGCTCTTGGCTCTATTCACGTAGTCAATAATCTTCTCCGTTGGCTCCATTGCGAGCAGCAGCAGCTTCTTTCTCACTGCAGTCAGATTTGTGTCAGTGCGTCCGAGGTACACTGCTTCCATGTATGCCCAGCCCATGCACGTTGTGCTGAGTTGATGTCGTCTGCAAACTTGTCCAGCCCCACAGCGATCGAGTCTGAGACCGAGTGACACAGTTGGAAGAAGGCCTGTAAACTCTTCTTCTTGTATGTCCTCTTTTCTTGTGTCGTTGCCGTTGCAGGTGGAGGTACTCCTTCCTCCGTCTCCTCGTCCGCCTTGTAAAAGTGCCATATATCAATCTCTCTTGCCTGCCGCATGAACTTAAGGCGCCATGTGCTGTAATTGTTGCCATTGAACCGTTGCGCCTCGCTCAGGCCGATCGTTGGCCTGGCCACCATTTGCCCTTGTGTTAGGGCCTCCAAGAGGGCTTGGACTTGGGGAACTTAAGCACTGACTGAAGAACCCGAGCTTGCCTCACCATCCCCGTTCGGCATGATGCAGGAACTTGTCTTGGCCCTTGTGTAATACTTGAAACGCACTAGAACCAGCTCTGATACCAGCTCTTAGACTTGGTCACAGTCAGTACGTGACTTCGCAGGTCACGAAAACAGTAGTAGCGGGCTTCAGATTGGATCTGAAAGTTGAAGAAGTAGGTTGCTTTCCAACCCAAGTTGTAAACAGAAAGTTTCACTATGTAAATGTGATACAATGAGGAAAACAGAATTGATATTTAAGCAATCCGAAATCCGAATTTCAAAGTGCGCCTCGCGTAACGCGCCTCGTCGCGAATCCGAAATTCGTAACAGTAACCGACGTTGAAAACTGTAATTCAAACTGAACCGTCGGTGAAACCAACTTTCTCCAACTCCACCGAACACCGCCTCCAGAAAGGTTGGGAAAAATTCTGGCGGTCCATAACGTTCTCCCTTCTCTTCCTCCTGAAACCCTCGTTTTCACCAGCTCTTCCTCACGATCTCTCACCTAACTCCTCCCACCGTCAGAAACTCAATGTCCAGCCTATTCCTTCCCACCACCATAGGTAAGGCATTTTCCAGCCGTCCCGTTTGTCGTTTTTTCGCTCTTGAAGTCGGTGCAGCGGCGAAACCACTTCTAACAACAGTCTCAGTTCGCGAGCTCGGGAGATGCTATGATAGCTGTCAGTCTTCACTCAAACGGTTTGAGACGCCAGTCATTTAGCCGCATCCAAGTTTGAAAGACTCGTTAGGGTGTGTCAGATCCGCTTTCGCGCTAATCCGACCGGCCGGATTTCGCGAAAGTAACCGTGCTGCGACGCTCGTTTGCAAGTTTCGGCTTCTTCGCCACATCCGGCCACATGTTGTAAGATCCGTTGGCCGTTTCATGAGTAAAAAACAAACCGACGTGCAGTCGACTCGAAAGTCGACCAGGCTAAGCTACAGTGACTGTGCGACTTCGCATGCTCAAGCCTGCGACGACACGGCACATGGTAACTACAAAATAACCAATCATTGAAAAACATGCGACGTCTTCGCACAATCCGGCCAAACCTTCGACTGCAAATCTGACAGACCCCTGCAATTCGGCCACCAAAAGTGTCTGTTTTGAAGATGTGGCCTACGGGTGGTCGACTACGAAGTTGACCACGTAGTCGTCTTTCGCGAAAAAAAATTGTCGACAATATGGTCGACAAATAACCAGCCAGAACAGCTTTCAGCGGATCTGACACACCCTTAGTTAGCCGCGTGAGAAGATGTCAGTCGTCCGATCAAACACTCATAACCAGCACCTGGGGAGTTCGAAAGTTTGAAAGACTTGCCTGTCAGCCATGGTAACCAGCACATGGACAGAGAAACCAGCCACGGATGTTGGACATTACGACATGTCACTGAACCGAAGCTGTAGCGTTTTGTAACTTTTGCAAAAGCTATGTTACCTTGGTGACAAGTCAGGCAGTCCCCTCCCACGTTTGAGACATTCGTGAATGTCGCAAACAGCTCGCGCGAGCGGAAGTCCGTGCGAAAGCTGAAATCCAGCTGATCATTGGTCAATCCCGCTCATTTTTGTCAGCCTGTCACATCTGCGGACATGCCAGGAAACCCTGACAGTCGGGCTCCAACGCTGCAGCGCCACGCAGGTTCTGAATTCCCAAGCCTGTGCTCACCCTGATGTTCAACAGCCTGTGGAACCCCACCGTAAATGCTCTTTTTTCGTATAAGAACGTTCTGCACCGTTGTAAAAAACGTAAGTCGCAGGAGGTGAAGACGCCGATCTCTCTACCAATCACACACAGACCAGACATTCGCAGCTGATCGCTTTTCTAGTTTAGTATTACTAGTAGTAGTACTTCGGAGGCCGGACTCAGCAGACTAGCTTAGTATTCAGTCCTAGCACACTTGTCCTAGTGAAACGTCTTAGTCCAGTTGGTTTCTGCATTACCTTGCTAGCTTCATTGTTACGTGGTATGGCGTTGACTCGCGCGTCGTTCGACCACTTGTCAGACGATCTTCTATGCACTATTCTCCGTGAGAGATGTAATCACTATTCTCCCTGGCAGGGAGCAGCGCATTTCTCCCTCGCCCTGGTCTGTAAGCGATGGTATCGCATCGTCTGTCTTACTCAAAGGTCGACCTTCTTCAAGAGTAATGTCCAAAACTCCCACGTTCTCCGATCTCTTTCTCAGTTTAAGAACCTGGCGTCTGTAAATATAGTTGGCTCCGAGGGTCCCGGTGACGATTTCCTCATTGGCCTGGCTTCTGCCTGTCCCAAGCTTACGGACCTACAACTTATGAATTTTAGCCGTTCCACAGTAACGCGTACGGGGCTAGATACACTGTTCACGGCATGCACTGACCTGCAGTTGCTCTCCTTGCACTTGTCCGTCAAGATTGAGATGATGCCGATGTCATTATTCGGTTTAACCTCATTGAGAGACCTCACACTCAGTCTCGGCCTCGGCGAATTCCCGGATCAGTTCGGCAGGCTGAAATTCCTGAAGAGGTTGACACTGGAGTGCCTGCACATCACAGATCTGCCAGATTCGATCGGCCAGCTCACAGCATTGACCGAGCTGAGCATTTCCAACTGCAAGCGGCTACAGGACCTGCCGGATTCCATCGGCAATCTTCGTTCGTTACAGAAGCTGGAACTTTTCCGCGCGAAGCCGTTAGAAGTTCTCCCTGACAGCATCGGCCAGCTGCAGAACCTCGAAAATCTTTTTCTCTACCACAACCGGTCCCTTTGCGAGCTGCCGGATTCCTTCTTTCATCTCCTGTCTCTCAAGGTTCTCAAGCTGTGGAAATTGAAAGATCTTCCGGAGCTTGATAGCGCTGTGTCGAATCTCGTGAATCTCGAAATGCTTCAGATTGACAAATGCTGGTTCGAGTCGCTCCCGGATTCCATCTGCCAGGTTCCCAACCTCCGTCGCCTGATGGTCACCGACTGCTGGGATCTTACCAGCCTTCCGCGAAGCATCGGCGACGTATCTTCACTGCAGCGTCTGAAATTCAGGGATCTCGGAGTGACGCAGCTGCCAGGCTCCATTTCAAAGCTGTCCGATCTTCGATCCTTCGTCTTGAAAGGATGCGGTACCATCACCGAGGTCCCGACTTCTCTCTTCCAAGACTGCACGAACTTAGTGAAACTTGAGTTTGACTGGCCATACAGCTGCAGAAATGGCGGCCAGGCTGGAGGAGCACCTTCAGCTGAAGCCTTTGTGTCCAATATTTGCAGACTATCCAGCCTGACATCCCTTGTTCTGTCTGGTGTTCCAGATCTCAACACCCTTCCTCCCCAGATTGGTAATCTCTTGGGACTGGAGCGGCTGAAACTTCGTTTTTGGAACAAACTGACGAGCTTGCCTGATTCTATGTCCAAGCTCGTCCGCCTTTACACTCTTGATATTGTTGCCTGCCCGGCTTTCGATAAAACGATCAATGAGATCCCTGGGTTTCCACGTGTGGAGATCGTATCATTGGAGAGCAGTCGCAAAGATTGGGGAAGCGACGATGAGTGGGAAACTGACGACGAAGGGATGCTATAGAAGTGAAGGTGAGCATTTATGGACGTGGGTGCGTTGCTAATTTAATTGATGATCACCAGTGTGGTTGTACTTACTGCTCCACTTCTTGAAGAGCGGGCAAAGATGTAGCTTGCTTCTAGGTATAATTGTCTTGTTTACTTAGGCTCTCTGGGTATAGTTTTACCTCAACACTCTCATCCCGACTTGCACTTGCACCCTCCGTCCTTTTCCCCACACCAGTCCTTTCTTCCGCCTGCGCTGTGAGCGTCTCTCCCGCCAATGGGGCCACACGCAGCCGCACATCCGCCGTTGCCCCTATCCGCGCGTCAGCGCAGGCGGAAAACCAACCTTCCGCCCACCCCTCCACTTCCGCCACTCCCCCTTCCGCCGCTTCCCCCGAAGCCCTCCCCAGACGCTCCGTGCTCGCGGGCGGACTCCTCGCGTTGGCTTCCGCCACCCTCTCCGCTTACCTCCCACTACCCGCCCTCCCTCCCGTCGCGCACGCCGCCGCGGACGCCGCCGCAACGGCAGAAGCCGCGGGCGGAAGCGAGCTGCTGAAAGGGCTGCGATCCGCGTTCGATTCGGAGGAGGTGACGGCGAGCGGGCGGCGGCTTCCGAAGGCGTACGTGCGGAGTGTGACGGCGCTCGTCAGCAGCCTGCGCGACGCGCTGGGCGCGGAGGAGGGCGAGCGGGGGGAGTTCCGGCGCAAGGCGGAGGTGGCTAAGGGCGCCATCCGCGCGTACCTTGGGGAGTGGCGGGGGAAAGCACCGGAGAACACTGAGGTGAGCGCAGGGGAAGGGGGGAGTATGCGCTGAGAGGAGGGTTGAACAGGGGGAGAGTTGAGGGGGAGGACTGAACGTGGGGAGGGCTGAACGTGGGGAGGGCTGAACGAGCTGAGTTATAAACTAGGGGAGTTTTGAACTGCTTGTGGGTATTTAAGGGGAGTGTTTGGGGAAGGTCACTCGTCAGCAGATTATATGGAGGTGAGCGAAGGAGAGACAGTGGAGGATGCATGGGGGAAGAAGGACTGGACTGGACGCCGGAAGTGTTACAAGTTGCAGTTCATTCAATGCCAAGCGCAGGGGAGGTGAGTGCAGGGGAGGTGAGTGCAGGGGAGGTGAGTGCAGGGGAGGTGAGTGCAGGGGACCGGAAGGAAGGATGTGTTGCAAGAAGGGTGGAACGAGGGGAGGGTGGAACGAGGGGAGGGTGGAACGAGGGGAGGAAGGAACAAGGGGAGGGGTTGAAAGGTGGGGATGGCTGAACTTTAATTCACGAACTTAATGGGGAGTGGCGAGGGAAGGTCACTGGGCAGAAGATTGTATGGAGGTGAGAGCAGGGGGTGGGGAAGATGGGGATGGGGAAATTGCATGGGGGTGGGGAAGATGGGGATGGGGAAATTGCATGGGGGTGGGGAAGATGGGGATGGGAAAGGTGGGGAAGATCTGTGGGAGAAACGGTTGGGAGGTTGAAAGAAAGGCTTATTTCACCTAATTCCTAGCGTGGTCGTCTCGTCTCACTCTATCCCAATCGTCTGCACCTCATTGCCCTCTTCCCCCTTTTCCTTCCTCTCCTCCCTATCGTCCCTCTCCTCCCTCTCTCCACCATTGTACCATCTCTTCCTCTCTTGACTCTGCTCTCACAACACTCTCCCAGTTTTACATGCCTTAAAAATCAATGGCAAGCCTCCCTTTTATTTCTTAGGCGCCACAAATATTGACTCTGCTCTCACAACGCTCTCCCGCGTATACATGCCTGGTGCAAGGAAATCATTGGCAAGCCTCCATCTATTTCACATTCACTCCCTAACCTCCTCCTCTCGCCCCCCTCCTCCCCTTTCCCCCTGACCCCCTTTCCCTCTGCTGCCGTTTCCCCCTCCTCCCCGTTTCCCCCCACCTCCACTCCTCCCCTCCTTCCTTCCCTCCTCGCTCTCCCAATCAGACCATCAACTCCTCACTCGGCTCTGCTCAGAACGTTCACCCGCTTCTACATGCGCAGTGCAGCGAATTCAACACTAGGCTGCCTCTTCTTTTCATTTTCACATTCTCCCCCTGCCTTTTCCCGCAACCCCCCTTCCTCCCCACGCTCCTCCCCTCCCAATCAGATCATCACCTCCTCTCTCGACTCTGTGCTCAGAACGCTCTCCCGCTTCTACATGCGCACTGGAGTCAACGCGAAGCTCCCTGCTGACGTTAGAGACGGAATCCTTGCTGACCTGGCACTTGCAGAAGCTGCGTTGTAATCGGTAGGGGTCGGTGGTGGTTTTCCAGTTACCAACGCTGCAGCAACATGTTGAGATTAAGGGGAATGATGTGTATTGGGTAGGAGGGTGAGAGTACAAGACTAGGCTATCGAGAGAATTTTGTACCCCCTAGAGCTATCCCCAATATAGCCTAGACGATTATAAACATATATGTTGACACACCCCCATAGGCGAAATGGGGGATAGCCAGAGCAAGCAACGGTCACAAGACCAGTCAAGAGAAGAAACAAAACACAGTTCAGGGTGGATCACAACGTCACCACACACACTGAGCACAAGCAAACGGCCACAAGGCCAGTCCACATGCAGAGGTATATAAGCAACAAGAACAGCACAGTGATATCAAGCTAGCAAGAGCAAGCATGCAGGAATATATATAGATCACAGTACAAGCAAAGACTACAGCAAGTGCGGAAACGTCGGCACAAGGCCCAACAAAGTACAAAAGCGCTGATGATCACCAGACGGAAGTGCCTTGGTGAATATATCAGCAGTGTTGGCCCGAGTGTCCACGTGACGGAGACGAAGCTGGCCTCGCTGCTGCAACTCTCGAGCCAGGAAGTAACGCAGAGCAATATGCTTCGTTCTGTGCTCCAGTCTGTGCTCCTCACACAAGGCAATGGCAGCCTGGTTGTCGACGTACAGCACTGGAGGAGAACGAGGCCGCTCTCCCAGGTCGGTCAGCAGGTAGGTGAGCCAACGCAACTCCTGTGCAGCCATGGCAGTGGCGTAGATCTCAGCCTCACAACTGGAGCTGAGAACTGAAGACGAGCGAGTAGAACGCCAAGAAACAGAGCCAGAGCCAAGGCTGAAAGTGTAACCCTGTGACGACCGCTGCGTAGCCTGGTCGTCAACCCAAGACGCGTCTAAGTGCCCAGTGAGGACCACCTCACTCCGTCCTCCAAGCACTAGCCCCATGCCTGATGTGCTGCACAAGTAGCGCAGTACCCTCTTAGCAGCAGCCATGTGCTCAGGTCGGTGCCGACCAGGAGCTACGTAGCGAGCCAGAAGACCAAGAGGGTACGCGAGGTCAGGTCGAGTGCAAGTCATCAGGTACATGAGGCAGCCGACTAGCTCTGGGTAAGGACCACTCGGCTCTACGGACTCGTCCGAAGGTGGAGCTGAGAGCGAGTGACCTGTCGCCAGAGGAGTGGCCTGTGCTGAAGACCAGGTGAAGCCGAAGCGCTGAAGGACCTCCTGCACCATGTGTGACTGAGTCAGGGTGATAGTGCGGCGTGCTCTGTCCCGGGTGATCTGCAAGCCAAGGTAGCTGTGCAGCTCACCCAAGTCTGTGCACGTGTGTCTCTTCTGCAGCTCTGACTTCACGTGGGCGAGAGCCTCAGTGTCAGCAGTGGCAAAAACCAAGTCGTCGACGTACACGAGGATGTAGAATGGCGGCAGTGAAGTGTCGGTGCGCAGAAACAGCGACAGGTCAGCAGTAGAAGGCGCGAACCCAAGAGCCGCAAGCGTAGTCCTCAGTGTGTCGTGCCACTCACGTGGCGCCTGGCGGAGACCGTAGACCAGGCGCCGGAGGCTCCACTGGGTACCAGGAGGGAACGACCCAGTGAAGCCCGGGGGGCGGCGCAGCCAGATCTCCTCATGCAGGCTGCCCTGCAAGAAAGCTGTGCTGAAGTCAAGAGAGTGAGGCTCGTAGTCACGGTGAGCGGCAACGTGCAGCAGCACCTGAAGAGTGGTCATCTTCGGGGTGGGGGAGAAGGTCTGGAAGAAGTCAACTCCCTCTCGCTGACTGAATCCTCTAGCAACATAACGAGCCTTGAAGACAGGCGGAGAACCTGGCGGCCGCTTCACCCTGAAAATCCACATGCCACTGACGATGTTCGCCCAGGAGGGGGAACCTCGTCGATGTAAGTGCCAGAGGACTTCCAGGATGCCATCTCTGCGTCCATGGCTGTCTGCCACTGAGAGGAGTACTCACCCGCGATCGCCTCAGCGTAAGAGCGCGGGGTCGGGATGTCTGGTGCATCCGGGTCTCCCTCAGGGGCAAGCAACATGGCCACGAGATGAGGCGCACCGGCTGCAAGACACTCAAGGTCCTCGTGCCTGTCCTCAAGGACGTCCGTGCCAAGAGCACACTCACCCCCGACGGACGGAGGACAGACAGACTCAGACTCAGCAACAAGACTGGCAGCGTAGTCTAGACGACAAGTAGCAGCAAAGTCAACAAGCTCAGCGACCAAGGCAGACGCAGCAGCAGACTCAAACGACGGGTCAGTGACAGCAGTGGCTAGCAGACGCGTGACAGTAGGGTGGTCAGCACGAAACCGGTCAGACGCAGGGTCCGGAACGTCAGGCAGAGAGGACGCAGGGGGAGACGGCAGAGGAACAGACTGCGGAGCAGAGGAAGGACGACGGACAACAAGGTGCGTACTGGGGACAGTCGGCTGACGTGAACAAGAAACACGACGACCAGTACGACCAGAACGAACAGGCGAGACAGGACGCGACGCAGGCTCACGACGCTCAGCAAGATTACCTGTCTGCTCAGTGTAAGGAGAGGGAGCAGGCAGCGGTGAGCCAGGCTGTAAGGGAAGACCAGTAGACGACGGGAGAGGAACAACCTGACGAAGAGCAGAGTCAGGCGGCGGCAGAGACGACGGAGACGGGGGAGCGAAGAACAGTTGGGTCGGCGCCGCTGCACCAGTACCAGCAGCTCCAGCACCTCCAGCAGCTCCAGTGCCTCCAGCAGCTCCAACAGCTCCAGTCGCAGAACTGGTACCTCCAGCGGTAACACCACCAGAACCAGCGTCACCAGCAGCAGCACCCCCAGAACCGGCACCTCCAGTCCCAGGGTCCCCAGCCTCAGTGTCTCCAGCAGCAGCACCCCCAGAACCGGCACCTCCAGTCCCAGGGTCCCCAGCCTCAGTGTCTCCAGCAGCGGCACCCCCAGAACCGACACCTCCGGTCCCAGGGTCCCCAGCCTCAGTGCCTCCAGCAGCTGCACCTCCAGGCGCAGCACCCCCAGCCCCAGCAGCTCCAGCACCTCCAGCAGCAGAGCCCCGGGCTCCAGCAGCGCGACACAGACGGCGACCGTACCAGTCGTGCAGCTGCTGAGAGGTGAGAGGCACACGCGGACGAAGGCGGCCACTCCAAGTAGGCCGCGCACCAGCAGTCCCAGTACCCTCAAGCGTCTCACCTCCAGACACAGCACCCCCAGACTCCGCACACTCCGGCGCAGTACCCCCAGACACAGCACCCCCAGGTGGAGGACCTCCAGACTCCTCACGCGCAGGCTCAGCACCCCCAGATTCCGCACCCCCAGACGCAGCACCTCCAGGAGCACCACCCCCAACAGCACCAGAGCCAACAGTAACCAGCTGCAGAGGCGGCGAAGAAGGTCGCGGAGGGAACCCCGGAGGGGTCTCCAAGCGTGGTGCGCGGTGGTAGGCCGCCGGGGCCTCAGCAGCAGCGTCACCCCCCTCAGGTGGGCCAGAGGTGTCGGAAGTGACCTCCAAAGGCCCAGCCAAGGGGGGGGGGGTCTACCTGAGACACACCTGAAGGAGCAGGACCCTGAGGGGGGAGGGGGTCTACCGGGGGGGGACCTGGCGTAAGGAAGAGCGGCGGGGGGGGAAGGGGTGCAGCGCGGTAGGGGAAGAGACAGTAGTACGGAACCGACTCGTCAAACGTGACGTCCTGAGAGGACAGAACACGGCGCGAGGTGGGGTGGTAAAACTGCCAACCAGGCGCGTCAGGGGGGAAGCCAAGGAAGACGCAGGGAACAGCACGGGAGGACAATTTGTCCGCAGACAAGTCTCGGACAAAAGCCCGAGATCCCCAGACACGGAACGCAGACGCATCGCCAACCTTCCCCGTCCACAACCGAGTGGGGGAGGTCCCCGGCATGGAGACCCGGGGCTGAAGGTTGATCTGACGCGCCGCGTACTGAACCGCAAACGGCCACAGAAAATGGGGAGCAGCCGCATGGATCATGGACGTACGAGCGACATCCATGACCATGCCAATGCGGCGCTCAGCAATCCCATTTTGCTGCGGAGAGGCCGGAAGCGTGAACGTCTGACGGATGCCCCTCGCACGACAGAAGGCTCGCAGAGGGTCGGAGGAAAACTCTCCACCCTTATCAGAGTGCAGACGCAAAACAGGAAAGTCCGAGCGGAAACTCTTCCTGAGCTGGAGACGAGCAGCGCGGATCCAGTCGATCAACACCTCAGTGACCTCATCCTTGCGGCGCAAGGGGAAGACTGTGGTGTAACGCGAGTAGTCGTCAACCACCAGCAGGAAGTAGCGCTCGTGACCCTGTCCACGGACACGGGCTGGGCCCCACACGTCCATGTGAAGAGTCTGCAGCGGAGCCTCTGTCGGCGGAAACTCGGAGGAGTGAGGAGCGGCGCGCTGCCGCCCCTCGACGCAGGGAACGCAGGTAGGGGCAGGCCCCGGAGGGAGGGGAGGGAGGGACCGGGGGAGACCAGAGACAAGGACACGAGAGGCCATGCCTCGGAGACGAGGCAGAGAGGGGTGACCAAGACGGTGGTGCCATAGAAGAGTCTCGTGGGACAGGAGGCGACACGAGCAGGGGGCAGACTCAGGACCAGACTGAGACGCTGCAGCAAACACCTGACCCGACGCAGCTACCTGACCAGGAACAGCAACCGGCGGGGACTCGGTAGTCAGTGTGTACAAGCTCGACCCCGGCCGACGAGTAAACGTGGCCAAGTGTCGGCCCGTGTCAGCACACGTGCAGTGGGTCACCCGCTGTCGCGCAGGAGTGAACTGGTCAACTCCCCCATCCTGTAGGTCAGCACCCGCCACCAAGTTCGTAGAGAACGAGGGGAGGTAAAGACCAGACAGGGAGCCAGACGGGACTGCTGGACACGGCAGAACAGTGGAGTAGTGAGCAAGGACAGGACCCCCAGAGGGGTCTGCCAGGGAGACCGCAACCGGCCGACTGAGCGGCGTGAGAGTGGTGCGGTCTCGAAAGAAGGAGCGGGAAGCACCCGAGTCAA